GTGTCCTTATCAAATCAAATAAAGGGTAAACGATTTTTAGATGGCTTTGTCAAATGGTATGCATTCTTTCAACCTAACATCTTGCTTTCTGAATCTGCAGGGGTAGAATGAAATTTTCATACAATTCTCCTTCTCAGGTTAGAAGGATTAAGGTGAACCAGGACTTGCCATCCATGTGCCTGGATTTGAATATTGATTTGCAGATTGGTTAACCTTTCTACACCTTAAAATGAGCGTAACTATAGTAATTATCTCACTGGTTTAGGGACTTACAGAGGGGCTGTCTATAGCATGATGTCTGGTGCTTGAGAATCACTGCTTAGTTATCATTCTCACTCCAAGAATCCTTTGTTTCTGGAAATCCTGGGATCACATTGATAGAGGAAAGGGCTCTCCTTTTTCCCTATTTCCAAACTGATGTATAATTTTCTCTGGTGGTTGAGTCAAATAGAAAGTATACTAAGAAATTTGTACTTTCCTGAAAGTGAACAGAAATGGCATTTCACCTATTTTGTCCCTAGTCTTGAAAATGTATACCTAACTCTGACCAGTGGACCACAAACATGGCCTTAAGAGAAGCCAGTAAGGCAGGCAAGACCTGCATAGGAAGATCTGAGCCAGTTGGCCCTGACAGAACTCAAGAACATCAGTCTGGCCTCCTCACAGGGCCCCACACTAACCAATTCTGTGACCTTCAGCAAATCTCTTAGCCCAGTAAGTTCTAAGAAAGTTACCTTATTTTAAGGACTTACAATCAAAACTCACACTTTTTTTTGGTGGTACTGGGGTTTGAACTCAGGGCCTCACACTTGCTAGATAAGCACTTTACCACTTCAGCCTTGCCCCCAATCCTTTTGGCTTTAGTTATTTTTCACATAGGGTCTTTGAGTTTTTTATCTATGGCCTCAGACCTCGATCCTCCAATCTATGAAATTATAGGCACGAACCATAGCGTCCTGCCTTCTGTGTTAGATTTGTTTATATAGCACTTGCTTCCAGATTGCTTAGGAGAGAAAATTTTACTTACAAACAAAAGTCAGCTTTAAAAAAAAATCTTGATCCTGTCCACTGCTAATCTAGTGGCAGTGAGATAAACAGGGAAGCAGCTGGGATTTGGAAGATGAGAACGTGAATCTAGGCTTCACTACGTCTTAGCTGTGCAGCTTCGGCTGTGTCACCTATCTTCTCCATGGGACAATTCTACATTGTTCAATACCTCACAGGGATGTGAACTTTGCTAAATGTATGCAAGTGCCTGGCATACTACAGATGTGCAGTAGTGCCTAGTTTGGTTTGGTTTGGGAAGTACTGGGGTTTTAACTCAGGGCTTCACACTTGATAGGCAGGCACTCTACCTCATGAGTCACTCTGCCAGCCCTTTTTCATGTTGGATATGTTCAAGGCAGGGTCCTCAAACTATTTGCCTGGACTGACTTTGAACCACAGTCCTCCTGATCTCTGCCTCCTGAGTAGCTAGGATTACAGATGTGAGCCACTGACGCTCGGCTATCAATAACTAGTTTTGTCTTCTAGAACACATCTTTGGTCACTGCAAAGTCAGGCGTGCTGACAGACATCTGATAGTTGAGGCCATTCTACTTTCCCACCCACCCCTGCCCTGCTCCAACAACTCTTTGGAATCAAACCTCTGACCAACATCTAAAGACACAAGGGGCCACATCAGATGCTCCGTCCAATATGATGCTCCAGAAATGGAGGCTTTAGCTCTTCCCTGGCTCCTACCTAAAATCACTCACGACACACCTCACAGGTTTCTATGAGCATCCACCTTCAAGGGCTCTCTTCCTGGGTAACTTGTTTTAAAACAAGCACCCTGTTGCCTTTCGTGAGTTCTGGGGAGCCATTCCTGGGTCTATCTATATTTCTGGGTTCTTTTATTCTTTTCTCTTTTGCTGTTGCAGGGGTGTGGGAGAAAAGCTGGAATAATCTCTTTAAAATGGTGACATTTGCTTGATCATACTGACATTTTTATGGTATCAAAGCTCCACTTCCTGAAATAGAACTCCCATGAAAAGGATAAAGAAAGCTCAAGCGGCGCTTCTGGCATGTGCACTGACTGACTCACCACCCTCCGCCCCCACCTACCCACAAGCAGTTTTTTCTGACACTTGATCAGATTAGATGCGACACAAACCCAGGTGGTTTGCTTGCTTGCTGCTGTTCATTTTTAACTTACTTGTGACTGTAATTTTCCAACTCTGGTCACTACACTAAATCACAATAAGACACTTTTTCCAGACAGCCAACAATGACACCCAGCTTGACTAGAGAAAGATTAGAACTTAAAATATTCTGAGAAGAATCAAAGTACACCAGGACAAAATGCTAATAGGAGAGACCAAATTAGAAATGCAAGGTCAGAGTTCTGAATTCTTAGCGTTTGTTTAAATCAGGGGTTCTATCCTCAGAGAGTGGAGGAGGGGGACATTAAAGGAAGTTTACAAGGGAAAATTTTGGAGAAACAAATGACATGAATTCTCTGGAAGGTAGAGAGCACAAAATGGGATGGCAGATTCATAGCATAGATTGTCTCAAGGGGATATTTGTGGCATTTGTGAAAAATAAGAGCTGATCCAAGCCAACAAGGGGCATAACCAAAGTATCTTTGCAAGGTGATGGCTCCTTGTGCAGAGGAACTTCCCTTTTTTCCTTCTAGAATGGGAGTAGAGGGAGGGAATTAAGGAGTTGAATTGTACATGGGACAGAGATTAGAAGTTAGGCAATTATCTAGATCCCCAGGAAGTGTGGACAATGGAAATAGACATGGATTTAACTAACAGAGGACCCCACCAAGTACCCTTACAGAGCAGAGCACAAGTATGGGTGACAAACACGAAGTGACATTTCTACAGCCTCCTGAAACAAAGAAATATACTAAAGAGGTACAGCAGTGGGTCCTAAGGTACACTGCATGAGCTCTGGCATTACCTGTAAACAGTGTGTATTCCTAGAAAACTTGGGGAGGGAACACTGTCAACAAAGCAGGTTTCTTCATTGTAGAACTTCTCAAAGCCTTAGTAAGCTAATGTGCATCATTCTAAGTTTTCAAGAAATAGGATACCTCATTTTGTAAGTTTACTTAATGACAGGACTTGTAAATTTTTTATCCTTTAAAAATTTTTTCAAGAAAATGTTTATTCAATTCTGGATTGATCCAGAATAAGCAAAGGAAAATTAAAAAGGCAGCTGTCCTGAAGCTTTTCTGTCAGAGTCCTGTTCTAACACTAGTTCTTTGTGTGTGTTGTGTGTGTGTGTGTCTGTGTGTGTGTGCGCGCGCGTGTGTGTAAAGGCCTATCCTAGTCCTCTGAAGATCACAGCTTGAGAACTAAATGTTGGGGTTTCTCATTTATTAATGCTATTATGACTTCAAGAAAAAAGCACTCCTTCCATGTTTGGCAATTTTAATGAGTCCTTAATCTTTAAAAATAAGAATTTACTTTTCCTATGACTTTCTATCAGACTTTAGGTTTTTCTTAAGCTTTAAAAAAAAATCGTATTTTGTGAACTGGATGGGGACACAAACCCATTAGCAAACGAGATTATAAAATAATTTGATCATTAACACTGGGGTAGAGACTGTTGGGTGGGTTACATGTTTCCCAAGCTTACCCTTCTGTGACTTAAAACAGAAATACTGCCCTTCGATATTTTATCAAGACAGTAGTTACATCATTTTTTTTTAATTCTAAGAAATATTTTTTCTTTATTCATATGTGTATACATTGTTTGGGCCATTTTAGTTATATCATTTATAGCTGATGTATCACTTGCCTAAATATTTCCAAAGTAAAGAAACTAAATATACTCATTTTTTTTCCTCTGAAAATGCTGAGACCATTCCAGAATGACTGTATGTCACTCCTACCTCACATCCCTAGGGCTTCTCATTGCTGAGGCGCCCTTCACTGATTTTGGAACACAACTTTTGGATACTGCCAGTTAAGAGAAAAGGAAGCTGCTGTGTGACCTGGATCTCCTGGGGGATTGTAAGCATTACTGGTCTGGCCCTTACACTCGTGAATCTCAATGGTTGGAAGAAGTGCATGCCGGGAAAGACAATGAATGAGCAAAACATCTCATAGGCCATTTGTCTCAGTGTAAGAACTTTCTTCTCATCTTCAAAATACTGTATTCATGGTAAGAGAAGATACTAAATTTGACAAAATAGGATATTGTCAGGCATTATATTTTGTTGTAACTTAAAACTTTGAAAATGTAGTTTAGGTATGAACACATTACAGCACTTGGTAGTCTACATGATTCATGGGTCAAATCAAAAGATGATACATTCAGTTCACATGCTACAGGGATATAATCCCAGAGGCCATATCCTAAAACATTAGGACCTAGAGTAGAACTGGGTTCAAAGTCGTATGAGGCCATGGGTTCAATCCCCAGCACCAAGGGAAACAGGGGGTGGGATATAGAGTGCTTGCCCAGCATACACAAAGCCCTGTACTTGATCCCCAGCACCACTGAGGAGAGAGGGAGAAGGAGAAGAGTGGGAGAGGAGAGACAGAGAGAGAGAGAGAGACTGGATTAAATCCTCTTGGAAAGTGGCTAGAAATCAAGGCTGTTCACTGACAAATAATCCAAACCAAACCTCCCAGATACTGACCTTCATTACTAAATAAACATGTTATTTTTCTTTTTTAGACATTTGACCTTAAGCAAGTGACAGACACTCAGATCCTGAGCTGATGCCCTCCTCCCACACATATTGAAGGCTATGAATAAAAGGAACTGTGCAAGGCAGGATGTGAACTAACAGCACAGGCAAAGATGCCACCACCCGCCAACACTCACAGGCTACGTAGTGATGAAAACTGCCCCAAGCACTCATGTGACTGAATATTTTCACGCTGCTTTGCTCTGCCTTGGCCCAACAGGACATTCCTAATGTTTTTAAATGTTATATTCCTAACCATGGAGGCATAATCTACTTATGTTAAACAGAAATAAATATATTAAAAGAAATCTGAGTTAAAAGTTTTATTCATTCAACATCTCACATTACAAATATTTAAAAATTATATGCATACTGGTATAAATAGTCATTTGCAAACTATTTAATAACATTAATTTTCCACTAGCACTTCAACAAATGAACTCTTTTAAAAAAGGAACTGTGTTATATAACTTAAGAGTAGAACATACAAAAATAGGAACTTAACGTGAAAATGACTTTAATAAAAAATGAATTACCCTTATTTAAAATGCTATAATAAATACTACAACCTCCCCATACACAGTAAAAACTATGTGGAAATTCAGCCAAGTAGTACAATTAACTGACATACTTAAATAACTTTTCCTTCTGATAATATGAGCAATACACTGGAAAAAAATTAGGGATTAGTAAAAACTAGACACCCACTTGCTAAAAGTTTCACTTCCAAAAAATATAACAAAAATCTGATGAAAATTATAAAAACTAATTATACTTTAAATTTTAAAAATATAAAAAATAAAACAGTTGAATACAATATTGTCCCAATTCTTACAATGCTATCAATCACAGTAGCTTTAAAATAAGATAATAAAATAAAGCAAATGACCAAAACCTCTTTTATCCCATTTTTAAAAATAATCTCAAATTTACATTAGTAGAAAGATTGATTTCTGATTCTTTTCTTTAGAAACACCAGCAAGAAAGAGGATTACTCTTAACAGTAGAAAATGACATTTTTAAATGTCTGCAATTAAAAACAAAGAATTACACTGCAAAGATCTTTCAAAAGTTTGAAATAAGTATTGCACATAACTTGAAGTTAACTTGCCACAATTCATCACATTCAAGTTTTAAATCACCTTTTAACAGAAGATTCAACTCTTCAAAACAAAAGGGGTGAATTATCAAGTCTTTCCAACAGCACTCTCATAAAATGCTAAATTCATTCACTGCAAGTTTTATTTTGCATTCTGCAGAGGTCTGTGTATGGAGAAGTATATATTATACCAAAGCGTGGGGACCAGGAAGGGGAGGGAGAGGGTTCCTTTACATAGAAAACAATCAGAAACACTTTATTTTACATTGCAAAAATAACCATGTAATTACTCTGTAGCTACATTGTAAGTACATGGCTGGGCCATGCTAGTGAGCTAAGACCACATGCCTGGTAACTTGAAGTGACGCCCTAAAACCTGTAAACTAATTACATGTTAATCATGTTTGAGTTACATGGTAACTCCCAACTACATCCCATGTAATCTGAAGGACATGTAATCAATAAAGTTCAGAGTAATAGATAATCATTGTTTATGCCCTGTAAATTGAAGTGTAACCAAATAATCTGTAAACACGCTTGTCACACAATCACAAGTAAATATTAGTGGAATAACAATTTCTTACATTAGTCATGCATACTAACATTACACACCTGTCCCATGGCAGGCTATTTTTTAATATATAATTTAAAAGAGCAGACATTTCTGAATCAAACCCTTAACATCAGTTTATTAAGATTAAAAATGGCTAAACATTCACCAAAATGTCTGCATTTTATGAATAATTTTAAAAACTTAGTAAGAAGCTGTAGACAATTTTGTTATTTAAATTTCTACCCTATGCTTATGCATTTAATTTTTTTAGGAATACAGTGTTATCTGTCATTTTCATGCGAATTTTTTTCATTAATTTGTGACTTTACATAGACTATTTCTTAAATTATAGGTACACCAATAGCTGGTGCTGGGGAAGGATGTTTAAGCAACATGCTTTCTCTTCTCTGCAGACTCTAAAATAGCATTGCCAGTGCACAACATTCATAATTTAAAATGTATGCAGAGCACTGAAATGTATAAAAAGCAGAATATAAGAAAATAAAATTTATTAAAATTATTTATATTAAAAAATGAAGTATATGAAGATCTCTCAGTAATAAAAGTACAAAAAGCTACTCTTTGCAATATGAAAAATTGAGGTATTGCATAAAGAGATATCCCGTCAGTGAAAAGTGTGCCTAAAAATGTTCACTGTTGGAAAAACAAGATATACAAAAGTAGTGCATAACAAATATACATTATGTGCATGACAAAATAAGTTAGCTACAAAACACTGTACCGAAATTCAGCAGGTCATGTACAAAGGGAAAAATTATTATTCAAAGCTAGTTCTCAAACAGTGTTATTTCTTGTTAACTCATCACACCTGTTTACTGAGTAGGAACAGCACAATAGCACACCTCAAGCCACCTACAAGCGTTTAAAATAAAAAGAGGCAAATGAACATCCAATTAGAATCACGTAGTTCAGGAGAAAAGAAAAAAGTCCCTGACCAGCTACACGAGAGCACCTCCATTCGCATGACTGCTTCACTGTTTGCAGGGCATTCCTCAAAAGCAGCTTCCTTCCTATGTTGGACTCTTAGACAGCAAATGCCTCCATTTTGACCTTTGGAACTTAACAGGTATAGTTCATTAAAGCCTGTATTAAAAATAAAGGACTGCTTTCCTAAAGATAATCAGTACGGGTCATCAGCCAGGTGGTTCCACAGCAATGCTGGGGCAAGTCTTTGGTTTTGAAGGAATCCAAGATGGTACTGTTAGGTAGCACAACTAGCAAGATCGCCATTAGGTTGTTTTTTAATTTAATTGGTTTGCACACTGATAATAATCCTTTGAATGATGGATAGGGCATTTGATAAGAAAATGTCAATTAAAATAAAGTTACTTCCATGACTAGGGCTTCAAGAGACTCTTTAAAATTTACTCCTGAAGCATACTGTTCAACACATAAGAACGCCTTTAGAAGCTAGAGTTTTATTTATAATAAAGCATGCATTACTTGATGAAGTTGGCACTTCAAACACTGACTATGTCCCATGCTAAGTTCTGAAACTGTAATGTTATTTTATTTTATAGGAAGAGTAAGATAAACATACGTACCTTTGCACAGATTTACACAGTTACTTAGTTCAACAGTGCAAAACACTTTGCAACTACTTGACTTTTTTTTAGCTTTTTTTTTTTTCTGTTTTCTATGTTACAACTAATTACAGGATATCCAAAGAAACTTTAAATCTAAAAGTAAGCCAATCAGCAGCCAATTCCTATATTGTTTTGTCTTCTGGTTTTGGCTACAAGTGTACTGTAACACAAAATCAAAAACTGATATCCTTGAGGTATCTCTAGATTTGTTGTTTCTAATGTCAAAATGGAGAGCAAAGGCTGACACCTGATGAGTGTTAGTAAATTAGGATATAGAGTTTATCTATAACATCAAAAATAAAATTTATAGATTTGTTCTTCAGGAGGGGAAATGCTAGTTTTCCCACCAGTTGTTGTCAATTCTAGCTTTGGTAGGTTTCCTGGGGCTGTGACCAGAGAATTAAGATAAGTAAGTGCACTACTCCCCTCAGTGGTAAATTTACCCAATTCTTACATTCTGAATTTTTTAAATTATTTAAAAGACAATCAACCTAGCTCTGCCTACTTTACTATTTCTTTGATACTGTAGTAACTTTGAGACATAATGAAATTCTACTCAGCCTCTGAGCCCTTAAAATGAATTCTAATGCTGCTCAATCTTGCTCATGCATTTGTTTGCATTGACATGCTCTTTCCTGTTAATAATTGTTAACTTCCTCCACTGCTGTTAAAAGAACAAAAAGGGATGGAAAAAAAAAGAGACACAAAAAAGAAAAAAAGAAAGGAAAAGGCAAAAGCACTTCCCTGGGGGAAAACTGTGTCAGGACAGACCGATAGTGTTATTGTTGCATGGTTATTTTAATAAAAGTATTCTTATATGTTATATTATTAACAATAATTTAATTAAAAACCCAAAATACTCTATTGTTTCGTTTCTCTGTTAATATTTCTCTTTCTCCTCTAAGAAAAGTTGCAGGAAGTTTGGGTCCTCTTGGTCTCCAGCATACAAGAGGATAAACCTTCCATGCAGCATGATGGCAATATGAAAAAGGAGTTCATACATATTGTTTGTAGTGACACAAGAATCTACAAAACACCTATATTATAGGCCATTCTTTTCATTATACTATTGTTAAGTTACACACTGCTACAAGAGGACATGCCAGCGTGAAGAGGTTGAGGAAGGGGTCAGAATTAACAGAAGAGTGCACTTATTCTGAGGCCTGAAAATGAGCACTGCAATTATTTATCCTTTAGTTCCAGCGGAATGAAATATGCCGAGGGCGGTCGCCACCTTCCTTCACCAGGGGCTTGTGGAATTCCCTGCCAGCACGAGAATGAATAGCAGCCCAGCAATATTCACAGTAATACTGCAGACAGGTAACATTAGCACAGAAAAAGGGAGCAAACTTCCCCCCGCAACGGGCCCCTTGACATTCATCACACAGCTGATCATCCAAGACATATGGCTTAACTTCCACCTGCAGTCAAAAAATAAAAGAAGGGAGTTTACATTTTGTTAACCATAAGTATAGTGCATCTCCAGCCTCTGAATGAAAGAATCTATGCCCAGGTGCCCAAAAAAGATCCCGTAACTCATTTACTGAAAGTAAGATAGTCCATCTTTAAGAACTCTTTATAAGGCTTTTACACCTATCATTTTGCATTTCTGTCTTATTAAACACCCTTAAAAAAAAAGTTGTCACCAGAAATCATAAAGCAAAGACACTGTTTAAACTAGAATAGTATAATACTAAACCCATAGGAGATTTCTCATAGACAGGGACCATCACTTTAATTAGTGGATCTGGACTTTTGTTTATGTCAAATTATAATTTAAACAAACCCAACTAAGAGCTTCCAAGTTACACAAAATAGCATTTCAGGACTTCAATCAGTGGAAGACTCTGCCCTCTGCATCACAAGCTCTGAGTTGTCACTGAGCCTGGCTTGTGGTTTCTATTTACAGTGTCCACATCTCAGGTTATAATCATAAACCTGGAACTCTGGCAAAGCAAGACGTGGCCATGGTACTCATAACCTCAGCTGTGTTTTATGCTCTGTCAATGAGAACGGTTTACTTGAGTCTAAAAGTCAGAGGTGAATTTATAAAACTGGGCTTGTTCCAGCATTCAATAGACCAACCTGTCATTTGGGCTATTAAAAATAACCTGGCTATTAACTCATCAGATAGAAAAGAGCTGGTTATTTTTAGTCTTGGAGAGACTCCTGGCTGAGAGTCCCTTAAACTAGCTATCACTAGCACTGGTGCCATCCAATTCTGACAAGGAATCCTGACAAAGGTGAGCCATGAACAACAGGACAAGAGTGACATGGCAGAGGAGGAAGAGAGATATCCTAGACCATCAGGCTTTGGGCCCCCGGCCACTCCACAGAATCTACAGAGTGGCAAAAACATTGATCACAGGATTTCATTGTAGAGAACACAAATTAAGTTTGAATTTCTAGGGATGAACTCTACAACTCTGAAACTTATAATAGAAGGCACAGTGAAATGTAGGAAATTTTTAATGAGAATAAAAGAGCAAGTTAATGCATACTGCAAATAATCTTGTCCTCTTTTTCCTACCTTACAGTATGTGCCTTTCTCTTTAATGTGTTCACACTATTACATGACAACTACTATTATTTTTAAAGTTTTATTGCCACAGAAGTAGAATAACATGACATGAAACAAGCAATGAATGTAAACCACTATTTGCTTGACAGTTTCTACATCTCAGTTTGAGAATAGCATGATAAAATTAATCAATAAAGACTTCTGAGCACAGTGCCTCAGGGTGCTGGATACCAGTGTTAATGCTAATCAAAGTGCCAGTCTGTCATGACATAAAGAGCTTACACCAGAATATAAATCAGCATATTGCTTCCTTCATTAAGGTCCTTCTATGAAAAATAATTGTTAATTGAACCAAACATTTTGTTTAGAAATGCAGTTAACTGATGGTTTATAAGCCACACTTCAAGAAGTATTGGTTTAAAATATGATTCTATCTACCAGAAGATAGGCTCATGAGGACAGGGACTTCTCTTCCTAGGCACATAACCATTTGTTGAAAGCATGAGACACAAAAATAAGAAGTAGCTGGATAGCAGTTGCTCACACCTGAAATCCTAGCTACTCAGGAGGCAGAGATCAGGGGGATCATAGTTGAAGTCAGCCCGGGCAAAATAGTTCAAGAGACTGTATCTTGAAAAATCCATCACAAAAAAAACAAGGGCTGGTGGAGTGGCTCATGGCGTAGGCCCTGAGTTTAAACCCCAGTACTATAAAACAAACAAACAACAACAAAAAAACAAAGATAAGAAGTAATTTCATTCTGTGAATGAAAAGAAATAATACTGATAATGAAATACAGAGTTCCAGATAATAAAACACCAGACAGAGGAAAGAGCTATCTTTGAAGAATTTCTTCAACTATGTGATTCAGAGGATAAATCCAAGAAAAGGTTTTTGAAAAATACAGAAAATAATACTAACTACCATCTAATTTGGGATGGAAAAACAGACTACAGATGATTTTTTTCCTACTTAATCTGTTATAATAAAAGATTTATGAAGGGCAGTTCCAGGATTGAATTAATTTAATTACACATTATCATAATATATTGGGAAATAAGGATTACTGAGGTATTTATAATGTCCCAAGATTTAAAAAAAAAGAAGCAGAAATGCAAACAAACAAAGCATAGCATAGTACAAATGACTTAGTAAATGGGTAAATAGGAGGAGATGGTAGTTTAGAAGAGATTAAATTAACTCAAGTGAACTGATTGTAGTGCTCTGCTAGGCTACTTAAAACTAAGATGGGGAAGAAGTACATACCCTATAGAAATAATTGTCTGCTGTTGATTTATTGTCTGTCATATGAAATCCTCCCATTCTAATCTTAGTAATGACATATTTTTTCTTTCTTTTGTTTTGTTTTTAAATTTTTCATTATCATAGTATTGTTGAATGGGGGGTACACTGTGACATTTATAAAAATGCTTGGTAATGACATATTTAGATATCATTTCTAGAACTTTCCAGAAGGCAGTCTAGGACTTACCCGTTTATCTATCTCTCCATGCTGCAGTTGAACAAAGCGGGCACTAATAGCAGCTATGTAACTCTGTTGATTAGAGAATGCAACTCGCCCAGCTCCTTTTGGATATTTTAGCTCAGGGTCTGTATCAATCCCAGCATAGCAGACACCTCCATACAGCCGATCCATTATCATCGCAAGCTCCACTAAATATAAGACAGGAGCAAAGGGGATATTTGAAATCTGGAAAGTTCATCTGGTTCAGCAGTGGTTTCATCAAGAGCACTTCATTGGTCCTCTGAGCTCTCATAATCATTAGAATCAAACTCATTACTACAACCAGTTGTCCACTGGATTAATCTTTTTTAACTATGAGCTAGCTGTTTTACAATGTATTCTCTTTTAACCTTCACAACAACCTATGAAGTAGGTCGTAATTTCCTTGTTCAGGGTCACAGATCATTAATCAACAGTGTTGAGCTTGGCACCCAGGTTTTGTCTGCTTTATATCCCATCGCTGCCTGTTTACAAGTTAGTGCTTATTGTAAATAATTAATTGAACACTAGAAAACTAATTGGTGGACTCTGGGAGCCCTTTCTGCCTCTCTTCATAAAAAGCTGTTACCTTTCCCTACAATCTAGCTATTCACTGATTTTTCATGTAAAAATGAAAATAAAATAACACATGCATCTTTTCCACAACATGTCACAATTCTGAAAACTGCATTCTCATTCATTGTATCTTCTTTATCTTATTTATACTCTTAAACCTCAAGTTAATTGAAGTTAGGAATGTAATTTCTTCTGTAATTATTACTCTAAAAAGCATCATGCATTGCTTAGAACCCTGTATTATTTCAGAGCTCAGTAAACAGCTATTGAGCAACTGAAGACATGGGAAACAAATGAGGATGACAACGATTAGCATCTTGAGGCTCTACACCAAGCACTCTGTATTGGTTATCTCATTTAATCCTCAAAACAACTCCATGAACTACATGCACTTTTCACCCCATTTGAAGATAAGGAAATTGAAAACTACAGAAGTTCCATAATTTGTCCAACAAGCAGATTCAAGAATTCTCACTCTTACACATTAACTCAAATGCTGCTGGAGAATTTATCCTGAAGATCTTTATCTTTCTTATGCTAAAGGATAGGAGTGTTTCTGTTTGTTTAATCATACCAGCTCGTAATGGTCGAGGAACACCACCAACAAATATAGTTTTTCTTGGGTCAAGCGGTTGTGAACCATCCATCACAAAGTCACTGTCACTGAGATTCCAGGGCCGAATCTGCACCTAAAGAGTGTTTAAACAAAAATGTCTCATATTTTAAAAAAAGCTCAAAATTATTGCAGAGTATTTTAATACTTTTAAATGCAATAATCCATGTCATCCCAAATCAATAAAGCTGTAAAACTAAAAGACTTAAAAATAGTCTATCCTGATCCCTCATTTTATCTTATGATAGACTGAGCCAAGGTAGAAAGTTCAATTTAATTGTCTACTATAAGTTAATTAGCTAACTATAAGTTAGTTAGCTATCTTCAGCTAATTGGGACTCTAGTCTACCCAACCCCCCCAATATCTACATAATTCAAATTTACCATGGTGTCCAATGCTCTTCAGTATACATTACTAAATAATTTAGGACTGTATATCCAACCAGCATATGTTCAAGAAATGCAAACTACTGCTGATACCAATAAATCTTTTGCATTATTTCAAAAAGTATTTCAAAGTAAAAATACTGCTGATATTTGAAATAGGCTTTTTGTGACAAACACCAGTGTGTATATTAGCTTAACCAAGAATCATGTACCTAATTTAAAGTACTTTGCATTTATTTATAGTTATAAGTTATTATAAATGCCCACACCAAAGTCAAGGATTGATAGCAAGGTATTTCCGAGTATGAACAACAATGAGATCCTAGGACTGAGGTACCCAATTCAAATTTCTGTGGAATTGGCAGGGAATGTCTAGTAGACAAGTGAAGCAGCAAGAGTCCAGGACATAGGACCTCTCAGAAGAATGTTCCTGACCCACACAACCCAAGACACCAATAAAGCTCCAGCTTGAGCTGGGCCACTGATGATGCTATTCTGTACCATACTCTTCACTGAAGCCAGCAAGTGACAATAAATTGTTGATCGACCAGATTCCTCAAGGCAGGCCACTGGCTAATGACCGAACTTTATGATAAAAAAAAACTTCCCAAAAGAAAAAACAATGTTTACTCTACCTGTCTGTGTATAAATATAACCAATTCTACTTTGGGAGAACACTGAAGGCAAAAAGTTAAGGATAGCTTTGGGTAAAATCTCAACCAAAGAGAGGAAGGAGGCAGTCATAGAACATATTTGTGATTTGAACTCTATTATTCAGAGGAAATTCAGCAACTTTATAAAATAATTTCTCAAATGAAATCTTTAAATACTAAAGACAGAGTAATATTTCAAGTAGCCAATGCCAAAATGATGTGTACAGATGGATGTCAATGTCAAGCACATAACAGCAGTTTTTATATAGATTCTGCTTATATGCATGTTGATTAAGTAAGACAAGACACATAAGATGTTTCTTAAACAGAGCGGATGAATGGAATCACAAACAGAAAACTGTTTTACGCTAGACTATACTCACTGGCTTGTCCTTGATGGTGGGACTTGATACACACAGGTAGAGTTTTCCATCTTCTTCAATACAAGCATCAATGAGAGCCTGTACAGAGCTTTCATCTTGAAACAGCAGGAATGCATAGCCTGAGGAAAAGGAACAGAGGGTTTACATATTTGTTGTAATTCTTCAGGGAATAGAATACATAAAGGAAAACGAATAGAAAAATATGAGTAAAATCAAAACTTAATATTCATATCCAAAGACTGATAACATCAGTATACAGTTCATTTTGATAGTATCTCAGAACATCTTTTAGAGTAAAATTAAATTTGAATTAAAAGTATATTAGGCAGAAACATGTAATTTTAATAATGAAAAGTTTTGAAATGAAGATAAATATTTATGAAAAGGCTAAACATTAAACAATGTAAGTATAAACCATACTTATATATTGGAATCTTGAGGATTACCTTTAGGAGGAAAATAGGATTTGCTCTCAGCTTTATGAGGCCAGTCCACAATCAAAGGGCCAAAACGACGAAAACTAGCTGTGATCTCATCTAATGAAAAACAAAAAAGTAGATTTAAACATTTTTATGATCATTTTTGGAAGCAGTAATTTTTTTAAACTTTCTAGTCCATCTCCAAGAACACTACATCATGTAGATTCACCAGCTGTTAATATTTGGCACATTTGCCTTTACCCTCTTCCTTCTCTCTTCTCCTTCATCCCTCTTAGCTATGTGCTTGCATCATGAACCAATCTATCCATCCATCTATCCACCATCTTTTTCTAACATGATGCCCCTATAATCACAAAACACCACTACTGTTAGTATTATCTCAAAACAAGGTTGCTTCCTTGTATACCCCCCATGTAGCCCTCACAATCAGAAAATCAACATTGATACAATACTACTACCTAATTCACAGGCTCCATTTAAATTTCAAACTATCCCAACAATATCTCTTTTGTTCTTTCTGATCCAGAATTCTGTCCAGAACACATGGTGCATTTAGTTGTCATATCTCTGAAACACTGGTATTTCATTCTTTCCTGTCTTTCACATTCATTCTATGGTATGTTGCTATGGTCTGAATGTTTGTGTCCCTACCACCAAATTCCTATGTTGACACCAAATCCCCAGTGTGAGGGTATCTGGAGGTAAGGGCCTTAGGTAAGTGATTGGGTGATGAAGGTAGAGCCCTCATGGATGGATTAACGCCCTCATAAAAGAGGCCCTGGACAGATTCTGCCATGTGAGCTTATATGGCAGAAAGCTTACCAGGAAGCAGGCCCTCACCAGACGTTGAATCTGATAGTGCCTTGATCTTGAACTTACTGGGCTTCAGAAGTGTGAGAAATTTCTGTGGTTTATAAGCTTCCCAGTTTATGGTATTTTGTTATAGCAGCCCAAACTGATTTATGACACTGACCTTCAACTTTGGCCTATACTGTTTCCTTATGACGAGATTCAGTCTATGCATTCCAAACACAAATACCACCATAATGATGCTATGTAATCCTGTCTTATCACTTAAACTAACTAATCCTCATCACCTGGTCAAGTTGGTATCTTCCTGATTTCTCTACCAAGAAGAAACCATTTTTCCCTTTGTAATTGATGAGTACTTTGCAGGGTGATAATGTGTTATCCCCCAAAATCCTGCATTCTCATCCTCCTTGGCATCAATTGAACACTTCTATTGGTATCTAATACCACAATGACAGTTGCCAAATGCTAATTACCTATTTCTATCATTCCTCCTACATTTATCAGTCAATAGTCTATAGTAAGGAAGAGCTCTGCCTTCTCTACAATTTAATTATTCACTTATTCTTTTCTGTATAGACCTATTTTATCCAATAGGTTCTACTCCAATTCTCTACTTATTTATTTTGGTGCTCAATTTGTCTAAAAACTGTCCCTAGTTTGGCCAGGGGAAGTTCTCAGGTCCTTCTGATTTGTCCCCATCATTTTTAAGCAGGTCCATTCTTTGTGTCCCAGCTCTAGAATCAGCCCTCTGCCCCCACCTTTTTTTTTTCAGTCCTGGTTCCTTTTAGTGGCAAGTGATATTTAAAAATTAAGATTTGAGTGCCCCACATGTTCATTTGCTAAAGGGTATTCATCATTTCTAAGTGTCCTTACTGGACTAAACTAGAAAATAAATGAATGCACACACAGAGAAACGTATTAAATGACTTAAATATTATCTGTAATAGACTTATTTCCCTGCTCACTACAACCAATCTTTCAGCTCCCCTGCTAGCCTTCTCTAACTTGTACCTTAGTGCTATGATATAATTGTCCTCATTGTTTAGATATCATGCATAGCGCTGCTGGGGCTTCTGAGCAGCGCTCCCATGCATGCACACTCATTCACTAAATACTCTCTTCCCCTTAAACAGCAAGACAGCTGACCGTGGGTAGAAGGGAGAAAAAGGAAAGAAGAGATAGACAGGGATAAAATATAAAAAAGGGAAGGCCTGTTTACTACTAATTTAAATAACAATTATAGCATGTTATATATTTGTCCAACAAGCAAACTGTAAGAAAGTAAATTTCTTTCTAGACTTCTTAGAGTCAGTAAGTATTTGTAAATAAAACCTGACCTGGAAGAGAGCAGTGGAAGGGGGGAATTAAAGTATAACATATTTGATACATTTTAAGAACCTTTGTAAATGCTACAATACCCCCACCCGGCACAACAATAATAATTTAAAAAATCTGAAAAATGGGAAGATAGAGGAACCAAAAAGAGAGATGGGGACTATGTTCAAATTCCAGTCTAATAGAACTGTTCTCATTTTCCCAGACTAAGAAACAGCAAATCTGTTCTGCTATTCCTATTTCTATGGTACAGTTTAGCTTGCATGAGAATAAATAGGAGAATGAGGCCAATATAACACAAAAGTTGTACTGGTTCACAAGTGATTTTTCTTAGGGAAGGTGAGCTAAAATAGTGAAAATAGAGCTATCATCTCCATCAGGAAGGCAAAATGCCCCACAGTTGTGTGATGTGCATGCAGGAACCCTCCCAGCTCTACTCTTAAAAAATTTAAAATGAGTGCAGTAACCAAGGTTTCTCCCCAGAGAGGTGTACCACCAACCTTGCAGGACTCCTGGCAGTTTGCATGTCTTCAGGTGTTTAGCGGTCCATTCCCATCTATGCTGTCCGTGTTTGCAAGCCAACATTTCTGCTCTATTGATTTGGGACAATTTCAATACTCCTGGAGGCAGCCCCAAGCATCTAAGCTACTTGCTTGAACTATCCAAGTTATGTCCAAGGTACTAATTCTCTTTGTGTTTGTGTTTCAGGTACAAAGTTCATTCAGTTTTAAATGATTTGCCTCTTACTCTGTTTCCCCCATAAATCCTACAAATTTTTATTTATTGATTTTTTTGGTGGCACTGGGATTTGAACTCAGGGCTTCATGCTTGCTAGGCAGTTGCTCTTATTGCTTGAGTCACTCCTCTAGCCTTTTTTTTTTTCCCAAACTATTTGCCTGGGCTGGCTTCAAACCTCAATCCTCCAGATCTCTGCCTCCTAAGTAGCTAGGATTACAGGCATGAGGCATTAGCACCTGGCTAAATCTTGTGAGTTCTAGTATACAATAATCCTGAACAACATATTCTTCAAGCCATGCACTCTTAGGGCAGGATGGAGATTGATTCAGACTAAACTGAAATTTCAGCAGTTTTCACCAAGACAATTTATTGTAAGAAAGAAGAAAGGGAGTAGCAAAGAAAGAAAGAAAAGAAAATATTTGCTGAATGAAAAATTCACAAAATGATACAACTTTTAAGATTCCTTCTCTTGTAATACAATTGTAGGCTAATTTTTTTTAAAAGTTCAGAGAAACACATAAATGAATTTGGCCAATGCTCATCCTCAACATTAGAATTCTTGGAAAGTTTTCGCAGTGATGTTTACTGTTTTGTTTTGTTTTTCATTGAATCTAGTCCCTTGCTTCAGCTGGTTTCCCCTTCTTTCTGGGAACTAATCTTGTGCTACAACAGGAAGATATGAACAATGTAATCAAGGCTGAATACCTGGAGCTAGATAAGCCTGTAGATATAAAACAGCCCCCACCATCTGAGTTCCCTATGGGTCACTGCTTGGCACCCTGCCCTAAACAGTTCTTTCTAAACATACCTTCATCAATGTCAGGAGGCAATCCACCCACAAACACCTTGCGAGAATATCGCTCAACTCTTTCTCCATTCTGGTGAGTGAAGCAGTGAGGTGAACCCAGGCCACTATGAAGAGGTTGATCCCCACGGCCATCATCCAAGAATCCATCTTCCATTGGAAACAGTGAAGACTGACCTGAAATAGAAAGCAGGACAGGATGCTAACAGAAAATGTTCCTTGCCACTGATTATTTTGCACAAGAAACACAGAAAATAGTAGAGTCAATAAGACTGCTGCTTTGAGTTTTTTTCCTCACTGAATAATAGGATCACTTAGAGATGGTGCTGAGTTCCCACCACCTCAAGGTCCCAAATAAGCCACAGAGTAAGTACATGGTTAAATAAATGGCTTCTCAAGTATTCTACTGGAATCCAGAAACTCCAGTGAGGTGAAGGAGAAATACAGCAAGAGAGAGCAATCCTTTGAAAACAGTTGGCAGCAGACTGCTCTGTCTTGGCAGGGCCCCCAAGGCCACTAGCAACTTAGACATGGGCACTATATTAAATTTGACTATAAGATGTGGTCACTTAAATTTCTTTAAAAGGTCAAATAGGATAGCCTGCACAATTTCCTCTAAGAATGTGCTCAAAATTAGCAGGTCAGTTTTTTAAGTGAGCATTCCTTTTAGTTTACCTTAACTAATGGGATATTAATCAAAACCCACTTAATGCTGTACCCAATTTCATTGTCTAGTCTTACAGAAATTAAAAGCTGTAGGCATGCTAAGGACATATTATTAGTTAATTATCAGCTATCCAATAACATCTCTGTTTGTAAAAAGTAGCCATTAAATTTGGTATTTGAAAATCCTATTATCCAGAATACATAAGGAGAAATAACCAGAAATGCCAATGTGTGTAACAATCTTCCCACATTTACCTGACAGCAAAATAGGAACTTTTACATCATAAGCAAAACAATGAATTACAAATAACTGCAGAATCTTTCAAGCACAACTTTCTCACTGTGCAGGCTGCCAATTTGTTCCTAGGTACTCTATGAGGAATTTGCTAATGGGTTCTCTAGAAACCTAGCTCAAATGTTCTTCCTTTATTGGAACATTCCAACATTCTTTTGTCTCTGTATTTATCTTTTAATTTTGTATTACTAAACATAAATAATAATAGTATCATTGTTACAAATTTATCCTATAATAACATATGTCAAATGTAGGTAAAAATAATTATAAAATTGAAGGTATTTTCTGAATAATCTTCAAAAATCATTTAATAAGCTATTTAACTATCTTATTTGCTTGTAAAATAGAAAAACCATTACAGACAGTAAAAATAAGGTTTATTCTGTCACTCCTAGGAAATAAATCTCTAAAATTCCCTAACACTTCTAGAGATTTTTCCACCAATGTTTACAATGCATAGGATTAAGCATTTATTTAGCTCATCTTATTTTAAAACGTATTATGCTTACTTAGTAAAACAGTTGACATAAGTTACTTAAGTATAACTGAACCTCTGAGATAATAAGGTATTTTGAGACTAGTGTAACTATACTTTCCCTGTGAAAGATTTTTAATTTTTTTCTCCTAGGAAATTCTTTTCAGAAAGACAAAAAGGGACAAATCGTTAGTTATAAAGTAAGTATCTAATATAATATAGGGAAATCATTTGAATTCAAATCCAAATCCCACCATTCTGGCAATTTGTCAAGCACTCATTAATTCTTCCAAATTAGAATGTCTAAAATGTTAACTACAACTCAGAACCATATAACTACTTCATTTCCCCTCTCCCTTTCCCACAAAGGTTAGGAATTGAGCAAGCTTGGGTCCTCTCCAAATTCAAATGACACATTCAAAAGTTAGAAACAATAATGTTACCTCTCCTTCGCCCATATGTCCTTGCTGCATGTCAAATGAGAAGAAAAACAAAAGAACAAAAAAAACAACCTTTCAAACATTGTCAAAAGAATCAACTGATATTTCATCTACCAGCTTTTGAAACGGAAAAAAATGGGCTACATTCTTCATTCCCTGACCAAGACTCAAAAACAAGGAATTGGATGGCGACAGATTAATTTAATGCATTTTTTTTAAAGTTCTTCAAAAACATTGTAAATCTTCTTTGACTCTTTCTGGCTTTATAGGAAGTGTTTGGCTGTAATTATCACCAAAGTTCCAGCCATCATGAAACTAAGGCAGTGTGTAACATGACTAAACAAGCTGCTACTGCATCCAGCACACTTTCTCCCCGATTCCCTACGAACTAGCAATTTACTATGTATGCCAATATTCAGGTTATGACTTTGCTCCACTACAGGATGAACAGCAATAGTATTGTTTTTCTCAGTTTGCTCCTAATAAAAACAAATCTCTACAAGTAAAATCTTTAGGGAATTTAAAAACTTCTTTTAGCCAACAGTTTTGTATCCCTAATCAAATCTTTCACCAAGTCTCAAATGTTAAAAGTAAAAGATGTGTCATTAGCTCACCAAATATTTTCCTGGAATCCTCAATTGAACACCACCATAAACTTTACACGTACATTTTTTGAGAAAATGTCTTCCCTGAAATGAACTGGCACTTGAAGATCAGCCTATCCTAGTGCCTCAATCTATCCAACAAATATTTCTTGAATGTCTGATCTTGCAAGGCACTATGGATAAATAGCACATGGCCCCGACCTCAAGGAACCAGCAGCCTTCTATTCCACAGAGCCATACAAGCAAATTATGATAATATACTATGTCTGCTGCTATACAGTGGTTCCCTTTATTCACAGTTTTGTTTTCCATCGTTTCAGTGACCAGTTGTCCACCTCAGTCTGAAAACATTAAATGGAACATTCCAAAAATAAACAATTTACAGGATTTTAATTGCACAGCCTTCTGAGTAGCATGATGAAACCTCACACCTCCCCACTCCATCCTGCTCAGGATATCAGTTATCCTTTTGTCTAGAACATCCATGCTATGTTACCTGCCCGTTAGTCACTTACGAGATATTTTGACAGAGACCCCAGTCACATAACTTTTATTAAAATATATGTTACAGGTCTATTTTTTTATTGTTGTTAATCTCTTACTGTAGCTAGGCTACAAATTAAACTTTATCAGAGGTATGTATAAAACACAATGCATAATATCCTCTGTTTCAGGGATCTACTGGGGGTCTTGGAACATGTCTCCTATGGATAAGAGAGGACAACTGTACTAGTTATATAGTAGATGTGGCAGAAACAGAAGGAGAGGAACAACTGGTTATGATTATTTGGGGAGGGGGTTGACATCTGAATTGACCTTAAAGGTAAAACAGAGGAAGGGTATCCCAGTTCTAGCAATGCCACAGGCAAAGGCGGCATTGTAATGTTCAGGCAAAGGTGGGCAGAACAGAAACATATGGAACAAACAAGGACTTGGCTGGGGATGAGGTAGAAGTAAGATGTTAAGCAGCATTTTTGAGGTAGAAGGCATAGCACCTATAACAAGTCATATCCGAAATGGCCAAAATACATTTCTCCCACTGCTAGATGACACTGGGTCTCACCCAAGTACATGAGCAAATGGCATGGACAACTTAAGACTGTCCTCAAGGAAAACCTACTGGGTTCTCACTTTAGGACCTAGCAGAGAGATTTCAGAAAGACATGTGACAGCATCACAAAAGCAGGTGCTGCTTAAGAACAGTCTATTTACACAACTGCTTCAAAGACAAGGAAGTCTGGGGAAATAATGACTTGAAAATCTTGGTAGAACCAAGTTAGACTGATAGTACTTGGATTCTGAAAAACAGCTAATTGAGAAGAGTAGGCTTTAAAAAAAAAGACTATGAAACTAAAATGCAATCTTCAAATGTGTATTTTCAAATTTTGATTATGTGCCACAAAATTAAGCTGCTTAATATAGGGGCATTCATGTTAAATTCTAAGATTAAATTCTGAAAACTATGCAGACAATTTCCCATATGAGGGAAAACAGGTTATAGGTATACAATGTTTACAGCTATAAAACTGCCCCATCAAATAAAGAAACAAATGCAAATTAATACTGAAAAATAAAAACAATGATGTCCTGGAGCATGAAAACCATTTCCATTTTTACACATTTTGTGTATAAACTTTGACATATGTCATATATGGAAAAGCAAACAAATGGTAAGCTCAATGAATTTTCACAGAGGGTCCATGTCTACATAATCAGAACCCATGAGAACAAAATGTTCAGTGGCGTCTCTTTATCTTGCATGTGAAAGACATACTAACTACTCTTTTCTCACTTATTTCAAGTTGTATTTGGAACAAACATTAAGATGAAATACTTACAACACAGATCCTCATCACTTTCCTGGGGAAAATATCAGACAGATTTCAAACCTCACGACTAGAAACTAAACCTGGTATTTGATGGTTTGCAAACATCCGAGGGAGTGGCAAGGGGAAAACAGCTTTAATTATGTTTAAAGAGATGTATGTTTTGAGAAAGTTCTAGCTAAGTCAGCTGAACAAACTCTGCCCAAAATTCTCCTTTAATTACAGAAGAGTAGGCCGTTAACATTTTAAAAATACATGCTATTACTGCTAAATAAAAATTTCCCAGTTCCAGTTGGGTGTGGTGGCTCATTTCTATAAGCCCAGCTACTTAGGAGGCAGAGATCCAAAGATCACATTTCCAGGCCAGCCTGAACAAAAAGTTAGCAAGACTGCATCCCAAATAATAAGCTGGGTATGGTGGTGCTCACCTGGCATCCCAGCTACACAGGAGGCCATAGGTCAAGGATCCTGGTCTGAGGTTGCCCTGGGCAAAAATAGAACACTTTACCTAAAAAATAACTAAGGCAAAAAAGGGCTGGAGGTTTAGCTAAAGTAGTAGAGCACCTGCCTAGCAAGTGTGAGGTCCTGAGTTCAAATCTTAATACCTCAAAACAAAAAACCTCCCAGTTGTCATAGCATTTACATGTATGCCCACTTTTATTCCTGTGCTTCTTTTTGATATATGAAGTCCTCAGCAACTTCACATTCAGAGCTAACAGGATTCTAGAGTGTTTACAACCGCACATGTTATTAGAGCTACTGATAAGTACTTCTTTACAGGACTACTTACAAATGCTTTTCTTATTGGTAGTCTTATATTCATCATCAAATTCCCTCTTGTAAAATAGTCCATTAATCTGTGTTGCTATG